TGACGTAATAATAATGGTGATTACGTCACACCATCAGCTGTCCGGTGAATATTTTCCCGCTCAAAATATCCGACTCACTTAACCTTTACTAATTAAACCTTTACTTCATCTTATTACTCGTCTCAAACTAGGCACTTAATAACTCTTAAACCCTTCTTCATTATAATCACATCATTATAATCATTTGAGACTCATTATAATGCTCGACGATGTGTTAAGTTCCCGCCTTCCTTCACGGTAAGTATGGACCAATAGGCGCTCGTCATAGTGTAAATACAAGTAGACGTCATAGTGGCAAGGACCAATCAGCGTTCATCATATTAAAGACATATAGACGTCATGGTGGTAAGGGCCCATCAACGCTCGTCATATCGGTGACACTCGTGACTTCATAATGGGTAAGAACCAATCAGAGCTTGTCACATTAAAAACACTCATAGACGTCATAGTGGTTAAGGACCAATCAGCGCGCGTTTTACACACATCCCCGTGAATCCGTAACCTGAATCCGGATCATTGAGGAACATTTTTCTCCTCTTGTGATGATGATGATAAAAGGTGTAAAACGAAAGAAGAACGTGAAGCGATGCAGAGGGCCAGGCCAGACTCCGACAGGCCGACTGATAGATGGTTAAAGGTACAGATGGATGGAGTGGTGTTACCCTGGGTTGATGGATCACCCAGGGGAAGTGGACAGACGGAAGACAAGTTGATGGATTGAGGAGGAAAAGAAGTAATAGATGGAGAGAGAGAGAGAGAGAGAGAGAGAGAGAGAGAGGGAGGTGTCTACTTTTTTGATAAACGACCTTAATATTACACACACACACACACACACACACACACACACACCTCAGAATTATCCTAGGATGCCCCATGAGCAATCAAGTACAGTACTTAATATGAGGAAAGAACTAGGTATACCCAGTGTCAAAGATATAATAAATGAAGGCAACCTCATGACAACCCTGAGGCTTCTGTGTGGTGATCCTGAGAACATTGTTTCCTTAAAGTTGCTAGAATGTATGAACCATGGGACTGGTGAGTCTAAATGGATCCAAACTACAGCTACACATATGAAGACGTTTAGACTAGACCACCTGTACAAAGTTGAGACACAACAGCGCTTCCTGCCACCCTGGCGGACAGTTCCCTTCGATATCACAATACCGACATATCCGCTCTTGAACACATACACACTCTACAGACTGATGATATCACACAGACCATCTACAGTGATGGATCTCTGAACACCGCCTGTGGGAGGGCTGGAAGTGCTATTGTTGTGACTCAACCTGACGGTAATACAATTGAGAAAGAAGGTAGAATTAACAACTGGGCATCCACTCTACAAATTAATTGCCATACTCACAGCTATTAAATTCATTGAAACCACTGTTACTGACAGTCATCATCACTGACTCTCTATCCTCACTACTTGCCCTTGACACCCTTCACTCAAGTTGTCACGCGCTTGTCTCTGAAGCCAGACACAAATATGCGTACCTTGTTGACCGGGGTGTCAAGGTCAAACTGTTGTGGATCCCCTCTCACATAGGCCTCATAAAACATGACAGAGTTGATGCCCTCGCCAAACTCGCGTCTAACAAAGACACCGTTGAATACAATCTGGGTCTGTCAAAAAGAACCCTTAAAACTGTAATTTGGAAGGAACTTATTGATGAATTTGATGCAAGCAGACAAGTGCAAACAGGCACTAGTCGACCCACAGTTTACCATGATGAGATGTATCAAGTGAAACATGTATATGGAGCAAGTAACAAGATCACTAGATAACAAGATGTTGTAACCGCTAGATTAAGGTTAGGATATAAGTACCTTTGGCAGTATGTTCCTCAAGCAGATGTGAACAAGACTACTGTAAATGAAAAGTGTGTGGTATGGCCACACACTTGAACACTACGTCCTCGACTGTGTGAAGATAGAACCTTTTAGGGACAGGTCCAAGCACACTGTGTGTGTGTGTGAGAATGGCACAACACTTTATCTCTAATGGCAAGATAGCCGACATATTAAGATTGTATCCACTTTTTTGCACTTAGTAGCTATATCAGTTCCCATGTGTAGAACCAAACCTACAATGTGCTTGAATACCTCTCACGCAAATGTGAATAACAAAGTGTGCGGCCAGACACACTGCCTCACACGTCTGTTCTCACGCAACTGTTAATAAGTTACCCTTTATGTACAGAACTAAACAAAGAATTTATTTAAAATACTGTGCAACATCCAGTGCCGGGTGTTGGGTGGGTGGCTAGTGGTGGGTATTAAAGGTCAGATGTATTGGGTGACATTAATTTAATAGCTGAAATAAAAACAAACAACGATTACAAATGTATATGACACACACACACACACACACACACACACACACACACACACACACACACACACACACACACACACACACACACACGGCTGTACATACTGTTATCTTTGAGCAATCCACTGTTGCCTGTCTTGATAATACAAACCATGTTATCACGGAGGGAGGGGGTGAAGATAACCTCCAATGCCACAGTGCCAGTACCAGAGTGCCAGTGCCTTATACCCCAAGACTAAGAGTGCCAGAATACCAGTGCCTCACTCCCAAGACGAGAGCGCCATCGGGTATGATGATGTGTTTCCGAGTTTCGTTCAAGATTATAAAAACAATAACAGAAGAAACCAAAAAAAGTGACAAATAAACGAAACATTTTCTTTGTAAGTAAAAAAAAAATCATTAGTGAGATATTTGGTTTTTATTAATATACTACAAGCTGATTTTGTGTTAATTTTATGAGGATTTTTGTGAATGTCTGTCTGTCTGTATATGTCTGTCTGTCTGTCTCTGTCTGTATGTCTGTCTATCTGTCCGTCCGTCTTGGTGTCCGTGGTCCAGGCTATAGTGTATGATGGCTATACACGTCAGGGAGGCCCAACGCTGACGTACGCCTATGGGCCCAGGAACGACCACCTTGAGGCTGTACCCGCCCTGGAGAATACATTACTGAGGTGTTGCTGTGATTGTGTGCTGTAGGTGTACGACAAACACTACTACTACTACTACTACTACTACTACTACTACTACTACACACACACACACACACACACACACACACACACACACACACACTGAGAGGTTGGAGGAGGCTGCTGCTTCCCTGAACTACAAAATCTACAATAGTTATTTTTGTAGGTATAAGTTTAGCTTCCCCTGTAACACTGATGCAAGAGTGAGTGGGAGAAGGTGGAGTGGGGAGGCGAGAGGGAATGGAGAGGAGGAATAGGGGAGTGAGAGGTGTGTGGTGGTACAGTGGGGTAAGATGACCCATAGTAGTAGTAGTAGTAGTAGTAATGAAACAAGATGGTTGACCGCTAGTAGTACATGGTGTGTCGTTTGCCCACACTACTGTCAGTACACACAACCCCATGCCGGAAGCCCCTTATCACCTCCCTGGAACACACACACACACACACAGCTCCTTGTTTCCATCCCATTACCTCCTTCTCTCCCTCTCTCCTCCTCTCTTCTCTCCCTCACTATCTACTTTCCCTCATACCACCTCCTCCTCCTCCTCCTTCTCCTTCTCTCCTCCTCCTTCTCTCCTCCCTCAGTGTGATATTAGGACTTAGGTGAGTTCCCCATCAGCATATGCAAACACCTTCCCGGGTCACGAGAGTAGGAGAGAGAGAGAGAGAGAGAGAGAGAGAGAGAGAGGAGAGAGAGAGAGAGAGAGAGAGAGAGAGAGAGACCACCTTCACCTCCTCACCAACACTTCACCACCACCACCCTGACACCCCCAACACCATCTCCCCCTTCTCGTCTCCAACACTTCACCACCACTGCCCTGACACCCCCCCAACACTGGACTATATGAGGTCATGACCCCTTTATACTGGACTATACAAGGTCATGACCCCTTTAAGCAAGCTTGAAGACTCGCAAAGAATTTAGTGAAGCATTAACTCCAAGTGAAGCACTAAGCATAACTGAACCATAAGTGAAGCAGTAAGTCCAGCATTAAGAGACGCATCAAGTGAAGCATTAAACATAAGTGAAGCATTAAGTGAACCATAAGTGAAGCATTAAGTGAACCATAAGTGAAGCATTAAGTGAACCATAAGTGAAGCAATAAGTGAAGCATTAAGTGAACCATAAGTGAACCATAAGTGAAGCATTAAGTGAACCATAAGTGAAGCATTAAGTGAACCATAAGTGAAGCATGAAGTGAACAATAAGTGAAGCATTAAGTCCCGGATAATCTCATCGTGAACCATAATGATGTAATTAACACACAATTAACCTGCAGCATCGCCTTAATTGCCTCACTTAATCCAATATTCTTTACTGTGACGCCAACGTTACTTAATCTGTTACCTGTGTTACCTGGACAACTGTTATCTGTGTTACCTGCACTAATGTTACCTGTTATCTGTGTTACCTAGACCACTGTTATCTGTCCCTATCACCTGTTATCTGTTACCTATTACCTGTTACCTGTACCCTATTACCTGTTACCTGTACCCTGTTACCTGTACCCTATTACCTGTACCCTATTACCTGTACGTGTTACCTGGAGCTGTTACTGAGCCAATACACCCAACACAACACCCACCCTTCCCCCAGTCATAAACGAACACTCTTCTTCCGTCAGTGAACGAAAGGTAAGGTAAGGTTAGGTTAGGTTAGGTTAGGTTAGGTTAGGTTAGGTTAGGTTAGGTTAGGTTAGGTTAGGTTTGGTTAGGTTAGGTTAGGTTAGGTAAGGTTAGGTTAGGTTAGGTTAATTGGCTGGTTTACTGAGGGTGAGTGAGAGGCATATATAGAGCTGAAAACGCACCATCCCTCCCTCCCACCCTCTCCCCTCCCTTCTTCCATCTCTCCTTTCCTCTACCCCCCCACCACCACTCCCTACCCCCCCTCTAGCGATGAGATAAGGACAGTGTGTGTTTATCTGTTGAGATCTTATCAATAACACTTAAGGTAACAACTGGTGGAGATA